TAGTCAATTACAGCTATTACGATAATCAAAAATAACTTGTACAGTAATGCACTTTACAAGTTATTTACTATCTGGACCTCATGACTTATGTACAAATTTTACTGTTATTAATAAAATACCTAATGATAATATAATAGTATTTTATGTTACGGATATTGGAGCTTACTATAAGTCTGCCTTCCCATTAATATAATAAGGTTTTATAAACAGAAGGTAATATAATTCGCATAGTGACTTATAAAAGCTATAGCAAAGAATATAGAAATATGTAAAAAAAAAGTAAATTAGATGAAATTCTATATAAAAAATGAAAAAGAAATATGTTGATGTTCATACTAACTATTGAATAAGTAAATATGTTGTTTGCTGAGTTCTATAAAATATTTAATTTATAGAGTTTATAATTCTGAAAAGTAAATTATAAGATAAATTTAATTATGTAAAAATTAGCATTACAATTATCCAAAATTCAGTAAAAATATCTCTCTCTCAAAAAAAAAAACATGTACAGTTGGAATAAAGTTTTATGTTAATTAAGTTATAGACTTTCAGAATATCGAAAAAATATTAATACTAAAATCTCATTAGATCTGTGATTGCTTTAAACAAATTTCAAAGTTTATTTATTATATGAAGTTAAAAAATTATTCGACTAATTTAACAAGTGTATTTTTGTATAAAAAGTTATATAGATTTATGTAATATCCACGGCACAGTAAAAAGCCTCGCGAAGAAAAAAAAATTTAGACATGAAAAATCAAAATTCAACTTTTGGCAATTATAATAGATCTATAGCATCATTATAACAATTGTATCTTCTTCATTTTCTATTTTCTCGCCTTAATCTCAACTACTTCAGATCGGTCACCCTTATCCTAAACTTCTATTTGACACGATATCCCACATAATCTACGCTCACATCAGCCGTCCTCATATCGCATTCAATAAAATCCCTCTATCTCTTTTTTGGTCTTCCTCTACTTCTTCTTCCTTCAACATTAATTTCTATAACTGTTCTTACAATTTTATATAAATAAAATATGAACTTTGGTCAAAAGCATTAATATTCAGTCATTCATAAGACGTTGCAACTCTTTTTTAAAGGGTATCTACGACAGCTTAACTTTTTCGGGGTCATACATTGTATATAAGTTCAACCAAGTATAAATTACTTGGTGTATTATTTTAAAATCTTAAAAATGATACATCAAATTCATAAATATACCTTCATTTTTAAACACCTACAATATTTAATAACAGTTGCAAAAAAAAAAAAAATAATTAAGCTTTAAGATTTTACTTACTGGTTTTGGATAATCGTCCGATATGTACGCTTCTGCATGTGGAGCTTTATCCAACAGGTGTCGTTGATGCCTTACTCTTGCAAGCCATAAATTATTGGACGGCACTGTAAAAGTGAATAAATATGATTATTAATTATACAATCAAAAAAAAAAAAACGATTTGCAATAGAAGTAATAATACATAATAATAGTAGTATAGTAATAGTCACAAAAAGTAAAACAAAAATTAGGGTTATTTGTCAAATTTAAAACACTGATACTTTATTTAATTAAAAAATGTTATTTAGTACTTATATGATTGTTACTACATGGCCGACGCCAAGTAGTTGGGTTTAAGGCGAAGAAAAATAAGATGATAGTTACTATTATGATAGTTTTTCTATTTAGTGAAATCTAATAAATTGAATATTGCTAAAAAATGAAAACTTTTTACAATTGTTTACTGGTAATTTGTACCGCAAACAATAAATTTAGGCACAAAAAACACAAGACATACATAATTAACACTGATAGTTTAGTAGGTGCATTTATGAAAAGAATGCAAACCGCCAGATTCTTTCAAAATATGATAATTTCTCTTTGACTATTGTTATGACAGTCGAAAAACTTTTCTCTTATTTTAAAATAATTTTGAGAAACTAAGTTAAAGTGACCATTAGAGATGTGTTGTAATATGAATATGGAAGAGTCAAGAATAAAAACCTAAAAAAAAACGAAACCTAAAAACCAACCAATCACTTATTTCAGAGGTTTATATTACACCTGATAAAAGATTTATTAATCATCAGAATTCCAATGTGTTTGGATAAAATTAATTGGTAATGTATAATTTTTTTTCATAGTTTCCAAAAGTACTAAACAATTGACGCTCATATTTCCTATATAATACTGCACTATTTCCTTTTAGAAATTTCAAATGAACATTACCGTTATGTCACTATACATTTATAAGTTACACAATTATTTTAAATGCATGTAGTAATTTTGCAGGATAATTTGTTGTTAATAATTGAGCTTACACGGCAGGTTATAACTGTTGTTGTTATAAAAACTATATAAACACGTGAAACGTCCAAAAAATTGATTGCGCAGCTGAATTGCGTATAAAAAGGCTTTTAGACACTAATGTTTGTTTCATATTATTTGCTTAACTTTTTAACTTTTTAATATCAATTTAATTTAAACTGATAAATTTAACTTTAAATATCTTATATTAATGTTTATCAAAATTGTTCTATTTTGGAATAGTTATTTTCCCACGACCAACAAGTCATTTCAAACATTTTGTTCATTTCCTCTCATGTAACAGAATGCATATTCATACGTATAGTTCACGTATATAAATATAGTGAACGAAGCAGAAAAAAATGTTCACGGTATGAGGATCACAGCTAAGGGTATAAATATATAAATAACGAGATAACACCTACATGTTGTTTAATGAGTGGAACGATAGTTATTTAGGAAAATTAGTCTTTTTATTGTTACTTCCAGAACTAACTATTTTAATAAATATCATTTATTCATTTTAATTATCACATTTTCCAAAAAAAATTTTAAAGAAATAATTTTAGTAGAACAACTATAAATCAAATAACCTATTTTTCAAAATATTAAGTCAACAAAGAATATTTTTTTCATATATATTACTTATGGTATTTTCTACAAACATATTAACGAACAAAAATAATTATGGAAACTACAATAAAATAATAAAAAACGTTGTAATTAGTCACTAAATTTGAGATGTATAATAAAACATTTTTAATAAGCACCAAAAAGTTAAAATAAAAAGAACATTTCAAACATAACAATAATAATAATCACTCTATGGTATGATTTATTCTGAAATGTCATTTTCGGATAGTAAGAAATATTATTAATTTATTTTTATCAATCTAAATTTGGACCATCATTTTGGTTAGTAACGATTCCTTCGGAAGAATTATCTATGGAGACATCGTTTGCTGCTAACGCATATGCTTCAGTCATTTCATCTTTGGATATTTCACAAGGAAAAACTGTGTATGGTAGTAATGCTGTTTGTAATTCTGTAAATTTTCCTATGTTATTTNAATGCTGTTTGCAATTCTGTAAATTTTCCTATGTTATTTAGAAAACGTTTTTGGATTATAGCGTACTTAGCAAACAATCGTTGATATAAAGCAATATTATTGATTTTTTCTTGCGTTTTGTCCTCCTGTACACTTACGATATTTTTCCAAGTTGGGTATAAAGCTGAAAAGTATTTAAAGTTAGTGACAAAGTCATTAAGTATGTCTTTATAATCTTTGTATAAGTCATGTAAAAAGGGATTCAACTCTTCTATTGTTGTGTTGCTATCCTTTATTAATGATGCCATAGTTTTGGCGGCATTCACCATTTCGTTAAAGTCATCCTCAACATTGTTATCTTCTTCCTCATCTTCTATGTCACTTTCTTCGTCATATTCGTCGTCTTCATCGTCTTCATCTTCATCTTCATCTTCCTCTTCGCTTCTTCCTTCTATTATACCATCAACTTCCTCCACCTCTTTAACATTAGCCAAATTTTGATTTTTCTGTACTTTTAAACTTTTTGTCGCTGTGCAATGAACAATGCTTAAAGTCATCCAACATATGAGAATCTATATACGTTAAGATCAAAACAAATATTGGTAATAATGAAACATTCTAGGAATTACCAACAAAAAGTGAAATTAATAAATTATATATAGATTGATACGTTCGAGTAATATACTGACTTCAATTGATACGAATATTATGGAAGAATTATTATTTATTGTAAATTGTCAAAAGAAACATGCACAGTAAATTAGGGGTAATTGTAAACGCAATTATTAACAAGAATATTATTTTGAACTTGCATTTAATTTTAGAGTAATAAATATAAGGATCAGACTTTTCAATCTAGAATAAAATTTGCTAAATATTAAAAAAAAAAAATTAATTAAACTATTTACAATTACTCCATTTCACCCTATCCTAGGTTTACATAGAGCAAGATAAATTATAATTATTATAAAAATTACAATATTTTAAGACATTTTTTTTAATTAGAAAATAATTTAAATTTATCATTTATCGTAAATAATAAATTTTAACAGCTTGTAGAAATCCAAAAAAAAAGTATAAGTCAACTAGATTTATTTTATGAAAAAATAATTGAACGATTAAATATAAAAATATTGAAAGATTACTTAGTTTAAAAACGTAGAGTTTAACTAAAAAAAAATTATGTTGGTGAAAATATTTAAATTAAGAATCTAATTTTATAATACTCACGATTAACAGGGAAAAACTTTTTAACGTAAGCATTGTTATACTTTACTGACAGGTGAATTACAATGTAATAATCATATAACTCTTAATAGTAGAGTCTCCTAATGAATACAACTGTAAATACAATTATAGGCAGAAAACAATACTAATATTAATGTGCTTTAACAGCTGTTCAAATTATTTTTAAGATAAACGTTATTTGACTATGTATTTGTTTAGAGAAATTCAAAAGTTGAATTTTGGTCATTATTTTAATAACTCGTAATTTAAGCAAACTTTAAAAATAATTGAAAACTAAATAATAGACAGTAATGAGATTAAAAACTTGATTTATTTAAATAAAAAAAATATCAAACATGATACATCACAATTTTTTTGAGTACATTGAATAATTAAAAAATATTTTTAAATTGAATTAGCAAGAACAAGAACATGATGATACTTCATTTGCAGAATAATATGAAGATGTTGATGATGAAGTCGCTGAAGAATAAGAATTAAATTCTTTTACATCAAGATCTACACAACTATGGCATGAATAATATTTATATAAAGCATCTCTAAATGAATTTCTATTTTTTTCACACACTGATGATTTATAGCGTTTGTATGCAGATGCAATATCCACTAAACCTTTTTTATTGAAAAATCCAACAACTTTATCTTCAGAACAATCATCAAACACATCAAAAATGTCTTTACCATTTGAAGTCATTACACCAGACGAGCATACACTTTTTGAAACAGAAGTTGAACTAGAACTGGATGAGGAGAAGGTTTTAACAAATTCTTTTAAATCATTAACGTCTGTGTCAATGCATTTATTATTAGAATAGTGATCATACACAGCCTTTTTGTAAGCAGATAATTTAGCGGAGTTTGAGGTACATTTAATGTAGTCTAAGTAAAGTTTTTCAATATTTGATAGCCGCTTCTTTTTAAAGAATGCACAAAGTTGATCTTTATTATATTTCTTTAACAAGTCGAAAATATCTTCACCACTTGATGTTTTAACTACAGATATGCTTTTTGAAATAGAACTAGATTTTGTGTTACAATTTGATGAACACGCAGTTTTTACGAATTCTTTCAATTCAGCTAAGTCCGTATCAATACATAAATGTTTAGAGTAGTAATTATACAATGCACATTTAAAAGCTTTCTTTGTTTTACCTGAATTACAATTTTTATATTCTACATATATTTTTTCAAGTTCAGACATACCTTTTTTCTTGAAAAATGCACACAACTGCTTTTGATTATAGTTATTAAACAAGTTAAAAATATCCTTACCGTTTGAATTTCGAACAACACCTCGTTTATTTGATTTTGATTCATCACTCGAACTATTATTAGAATCTTTAGAGACACATTTTTTACACACTTGAGTATGACTTTTCGACTTGCAGGATGAACAATTTGAAGAACAGAAACTCCTTATTTTAGTAATATCAGTTTCAAGATTTTTATTATTTTGGTAGTATTCGTACAATGCGTTTCTAAAGGCAACTTTAGTCTCTTTTGTTTCATTTTTTTTATATTGGACAAATAAATTTGTAATGTGTTTCATATCTCTTTCCTTAAAGAAGTTTAAAAGATCTTTGTTACTGCAATCATTAAACACATCAAAAATGTCTTCTCCTTTAGATGTCTTTACGACACTGACACAACTACTTGTAGATTTAACGGAGGTGGAACTGTTTGAAGAACAGAAACTCCTTATTTTAGTAATGTCAGTTTCAAGATTTTTATTATTTTGGTAGTATTCGTACAATGCGTTTCTAAAGGCAACTTTAGTCTCTTTTGTTTCATTTTTTTTATATTGGACAAATAAATTTGTAATGTGTTTCATATCTCTTTCCTTAAAGAAGTTTAAAAGATCTTTGTTACTGCAATCATTAAACACATCAAAAATGTCTTCTCCTTTAGATGTCTTTACGACACTGACACAACTACTTGTAGATTTAACGGAGGTGGAACTGTTTGAAGAACAGAAACTCCTTATTTTAGTAATATCAGTTTCAAGATTTTTATTATTTTGGTAGTATTCGTACAATGCGTTTCTAAAGGCAACTTTAGTCTCTTTTGTTTCATTTTTTTTATATTGGACAAATAAATTTGTAATGTGTTTCATATCTCTTTCCTTAAAGAAGTTTACAAGATCTTTGTTACTGCAATCATTAAACACATCAAAAATGTCTTCACCACTTGATGTCTTTACTACACTGACGCTCTTGGTAACGGTACTAGAACTTGAACTCGAACTCGAACTCGAAGATGTTACGGAACTAACGATTTCTTTTAGTTCAGTAATAACAGTGTCAATAGAGCTTTCCTTTGAATAATGTTTATATAAAGCATCTTTGTACGCTGTCAATTTGGTTGAATCTAAAGTATTCTTGATATAATCCAAATACAAATTCTCAATACAAGATAAATTCTTCTTTTTGTAGAAAGCGCATAATTGATCTTTGTTATATTTGCTGAAGATATCGAATATATCTTCACCGCTTGATGTCTTTACTACACTGACGCTCTTGGTAACGCTACTTGAACTTGAACTCGAACTCGAAGATGTTACGGAACTAACGATTTCTTTTAGTTCAGTAATAACAGTGTCAATAGAGCTTTCCTTTGAATAATGTTTATATAAAGCATCTTTGTACGCTGTCAATTTGGTTGAATCTAAAGTATTCTTNATGCTGTTAATTTGGTTGAATCTGAAGTATTCTTGATATAATCCAAATACAAATTCTCAATACAAGATAAATTCTTCTTTTTGTAGAAAGCGCATAATTGATCTTTGTTATATTTGCTGAAGATATCGAATATATCTTTACCGCTTGATGTCTTTACAATACTAACGCTACTCGAACTTGAACTTGAGCTTGACATAATTGTACTAGAAGAACTTACAGTAGATTCAGTCTTTGTACTATCGGTTTCTAAAGAATATTCTGTTGGACAACTTCTTCCACATACTATTGTCTAATAATGGAATATTTTAATATTATTAATGAAATCATAAATAGTTAAAAGATTACTGGTTATATTAACCTAATTAATTTTAAATTTATTATAATTAAGTGCTGTGAAAAATAACTTACTGTAATAAGAAATACAGACACAATGAAAATTTTAGAAGCCATTGTTGAATCTATTGTTGCTGTTTTACTATTAACCACATATATCTTGCATAGTCCAAATGACAGTTAATGAGACAATTTTATATTTATGTATATAAAATTATTTGAAAAAATAATAACGTCATTGAATTTTTTATTTACATATATTTGTTAATTTTTTTTTTAATATGTCACTGAATGATAGTATATCAATCAAATTTCGGCAATGGTATAATGTTAAATATCACTTTAGACATCAAACGTGATACATTATTTACATATGTAATGAAAATAATAATTTTTGTTGATATATGATATACTATACGACGATCATTACGACAATTCATATTAACTGATTATTTAGCTACATTTATTTTTTAGGTTTGTAAAATAGTACATAATTGTTCTTCGTTGTACAAAAATTATAAATATTTTTATTTTGAGATCACATAAAAATTACTTAAGTGAACCACAAATTAACTGAATTGTTTCATTTGCTACATTTAGGTTGACTGAAAATCAACATTGCGATGACCATAAAGATTTATTAAAACTTTTTTGTTTATCCTAGACAAAGAAAGTGAGAATAATCAATCTTTCCATCTACCATGGGTTATGATCATGGAAATCAAAAGGCTTAGTCAATATACTGGTTAAAATATTTATTTCATAATAAATTTAAATTAATCAAAACAGACGAAGGATTACGTGAAAATTCAATATTTTTAGTTGATGAATAATATAAAACTTGTTTTTTTAAACAATATAATACATTATTAATATATTACATTGAAAAATGTATTATATATATATATATTATAATATATTATACAAAAGTTTATTTTAATTTGACTAATGACAAATTTTATTAAATGAGTCGTCTAATTATTTCAAAGGAGGTAAATAAAATACAAGTCGTACAAAATTCTGCGAAATGAAATATAAAATTTATTTAAGACTACAAAATATTACGAACAAAAATATAACACAAAAGTATCTATTATAGCAATTAGTCAATCACTATCTAGACTGCAAAAAAATAAATAAATACTAGATAATATTTAAACATTAATAAATTAACTAATATTAAGTGCACCTCTATTTTGATACAATTACCTGATTTTTTCTGACAATATTTATAAAAAAAATTTTGAAACATGCAAATATAGTTTTATTACTTCATGTTTATTATTTATCTTGACTTGATATTTAATAAGTCTTTCTAAAACAAAAGATCCACTGAAATTTTATATTAATAATTTTTTTAGCTTCGATACGAAGATGAAAAAGTTTTAATTTTACTAGGATGTGTTTCTTTTTATGTCTTATTGGACCGATTTATTATAACGATAAGTCATTGTGACTCATCGTATCTAGTTTAAGACATTGTCCTTAAAAATTGAAAAAATTCTTCCTTCCTTCCATGTAAAAGGGAAAAATCCGCCNTTGTCCTTAAAAATTGAAAAAATTCTTCCTTCCTTCCATGTAAAAGGGAAAAATCCGCCAAAAAATTGCAATTTTTAAAATCTGTACACTTCGACTTTTTTAAACTTTTTTTTCTTAAAACTGCCATAAAATGAAACGAACGAAAAAATGAACGAACAGACATATTTTTTTTATATAAAAAAACGTAGGTATTTTACTTTTATTTGATATAAATTTTTTGAAAATCTGACTATTTATCTGCCCACAGGGAGAGACTCAACATAGCAACATTTGTAAACAAGTTAAAATTTTACAACTTATTTTATGAAAATGTTCCGAAAATACTGACACTTATATTAAAATTATTTTACTATGTAGCTTTTATTTGGGGTTGTCATTAATTTTCTCAGCTCTCACTTGACCTACTCTTTTCAACGATACGTCAAATTATTAAAATTCGTATCTAAAGAAAGATATTAACCTTCCAGAATTGGAAATAAATTCTAATTCATCAATTAAAAAAGTACTTAGCTCATGATCTCATAAAGTCAATTAAAATCATTCATTTCTAATATTTTAAAAGTATTTACTGCCGAATAATGTTTGACATGATAATAGGTTACAACTACATAACTAAAAAAATTTACTTTGAAGATTATTAACTTTTTAACTCTATTTGTGTGTATTACAACCAGTCATAAAAATTTCACCAATTTTGGTAGCATGTTGCTATATAAATAGTTTCTAAAAAAAATGATATTTCGGTTCACCTGAATTAACAATGGAAAATTTTCACAATTATAATCAAATTTTAAATAAGCTCAATCGAGTAAATATTTTTAACAAATTTTCATTGTTTTTTTTAATTAAATTAAATCATTAAAATTAATTATGTTCTGAATATTTCAGTTCCTTTTGAAATATCCAATGTTAATTATTACTATGGTTTTTATTACGATCTATTACTAATTAAGTGATCTATTACGATAAAAATACAAAAAATATTGAGATTTCCTGATAAATTTATTGTAAACAGTAATTATAAAATTTCCTAGCTGCATATTAATCTTAACAAAAACATTTTTTTAATTCTAATAAAATTTTGTATTTAAGTAATCAATTTCAAACTTGCAAGTTGAGCTAAAAGTCATAATAATAACTTTTAGATTTCTTTATATGTTAATATTAGTTTTTAACTAATAATTAATAATATAAAATATTAGAAGTGAAAGAAAAAATCTCATTGCAGATTTGAAATTAAAACGAACAATTAAATTAAATTAAAGCTTATTTTTGAAACTGACGAAATTCCTTGTAAAACCTTAAATTCATAATTATCAAAAACTATCTTCTGAATAGTTTTCTTTCAACACTTCAATTCTATATAAGGGTTGCCATAAAAGTGTATAATTACTTTATAATTTTATATAATTTCTTTATAAAAATTACTAAATTATTAAAAATAAATCTCATAATATACTTAATTGCTATAATTAATAAGTCATTCATATATTATACATCTAAATCAAAGAACTACTAATCAGGAATAATGAAGATATAAGAGGAAATCAGTTTGCTTTTGGAATAATCCACCGATTTCTTAAAATTAAACACATCTATAGTTTGTATTGAAGCATATCTGATAATGTTTTTAATCAGTGTCAGATATCATCTATACTTGTCCGAACTATGTCACAACCCCACTGTGCTACCATTTATTAAATTTAAATAATGCATAATTTTTATATAAAATATTTTTTATACCTTTAACAGTTTGTGTGATATATTAAATTATCTAAAAGTTGTCAATATTGGAGAAAAAAAAATTTTCAAAAATAATTAAATTAAATTTTTTTATAAAATTAGTTAAATTAACCAGTTATAGAAAATTTTGAAAAAAATTTGGGGGTCGTTTGTAAATCTCAAAACCATTTCTTTTTTAATTTTATATATAAAATAAATTTTCATTAAAAAAATATTTATAAGGGGCATATTATTTTCAGAACAATCACTGTTTGTTCACTGAACAAACAAGTAAATTCAGAAACAATCAGAAAAAAATACATTTTGTATACAATAATGGACAAAGTAAACCTTTGCCTATTAAGAAAAATTTTCAATTTTCAAAAAAGTATTTAAGTTACAAGACAACACCTAACATTAACCTAAAAAAAATTATGTTAAGTCATTACATTTAAAAACGCATTATAATTTTCGATTTAAGTCAACAAGCAAAAAAAATATAGCTTCGCAACGAAGCTATAACACCAGTGAAGTAAATAAACAATACTAAAGAACCTGATAAAAAAATTCATGCTTTTTATATAACTTAAAAAAATGCTGTACATATACAGCAAAGTTCAGACTGCATATACAACGCGAAATAATTTTTTGCTTAAGTCACGATTTCATTTAAAATAATAATATTAAATAAATTTTTGTCATTACTAAAAAAAATAATTTTCTACTATACAAGTAAAGTAGGTATTATAGTAGTATAATATACTAGAATAGGCCATATAGAAATGTATTCCACGATAAAAAAAAAAAAGAACTATCAGAGAAAAAAAAAATTAAACTAAATTAAATAAAATTCTAAAAAAAATTATAGACAACAGTAGATAAACAAATACTATATAAAATTAAAAACAGAAAATTCAAAATTACTTTTATTATACAAGCAAATTTGTGAAAATTATTTTTTACATCAATCGTCATGAAATAAATAACCCACTTCATAAATTAAAAGATAATATAAAAAAAGAACAGTTATAAAATTCTGTAAATTATACTATAGATACTCAATAATTTCAAGTCAAAATAATTTTTAAAAATCTGGATATTTTTTAAAAGAAAAAGGTTTATTAAATATGTAATTCATAATAAAAAATAAATCATATTAAATGTTACAAGTCAAAGACTCAAATATTAAATAATTTTATTTCTACACACACATTATCTGCAGGCACACGATGATATTACTGAATTGGAGCTTGAAGATGTTACGGAACTAACGACTTCTTTTAGTTCAGTAATAACAGTGTCAATAGAGCTTTCCTTTGAATAATGTTTATACAAAGCATCTTTGTACGCTGTCAATTTGGTTGAATCTGAAGTATTCTTGATATAATCCAAATACAAATTCTCAATACTAGATAAATTCTTCTTTTTGTAGAAAGCGCATAATTGATCTTTGTTATATTTGCTGAAGATATCGAATATATCTACACCGCTTGACGTCTTTACTACACTGACGCTCTTGGTAACGGTACTAGAACGTGAACTAGAGCACGAAGATGTTACGGAACTAACGATTTCTTTTAGTTCAGTAATAACAGTGTCAATAGAGCTTTCCTTTGAATAATGTTTATACAAAGCATCTTTGTACGCTGTCAATTTGGTTGAATCTGAAGTATTCTTGATATAATCCAAATACAAATTCTCAATACTAGATAAATTCTTCTTTTTGTAGAAAGCGCATAATTGATCTTTGTTATATTTGCTGAAGATATCGAATATATCTACACCGCTTGACGTCTTTACTACACTGACGCTCTTGGTAACGGTACTAGAACGTGAACTAGAGCACGAAGATGTTACGGAACTAACGATTTCTTTTAGTTCAGTAATAACAGTGTCAATAGAGCTTTCCTTTGAATAATGTTTATACAAAGCATCTTTGTACGCTGTCAATTTGGTTGAATCTGAAGTATTCTTGATATAATCCAAATACAAATTCTCAATACTAGATAAATTCTTCTTTTTGTAGAAAGCGCATAATTGATCTTTGTTATATTTGCTGAAGATATCGAATATATCTTCACCGCTTGACGTCTTTACAACACTGACGCTCTTGGTAACGGTACTGGAACTTGAACTAGAGCTCGAAGATGTTACGGAACTAACGATTTCTTTTAGTTCAGTAATAACAGTGTCAATAGAGCTTTCCTTTGAATAATGTTTATACAAAGCATCTTTGTACGCTGTCAATTTGGTTGAATCTGAAGTATTCTTGATATAATCCAAATACAAATTCTCAATACTAGATAAATTCTTCTTTTTGTAGAAAGCGCATAATTGATCTTTGTTATATTTGCTGAAGATATCGAATATATCTTCACCGCTTGACGTCTTTACAACACTGACGCTCTTGGTAACGGTACTGGAACTTGAACTAGAGCTCGAAGATGTTACGGAACTAACGATTTCTTTTAGTTCAGTAATAACAGTGTCAATAGAGCTTTCCTTTGAATAATGTTTATACAAAGCATCTTTGTACGCTGTCAATTTGGTTGAATCTGAAGTATTCTTGATATAATCCAAATACAAATTCTCAATACTAGATAAATTCTTCTTTTTGTAGAAAGCGCATAATTGATCTTTGTTATATTTGCTGAAGATATCGAATATATCTTCACCGCTTGACGTCTTTACAACACTGACGCTCTTGGTAACGGTACTGGAACTTGAACTAGAGCTCGAAGATGTTACGGAACTAACGATTTCTTTTAGTTCAGTAATAACAGTGTCAATAGAGCTTTCCTTTGAATAATGTTTATACAAAGCATCTTTGTACGCTGTCAATTTGGTTGAATCTGAAGTATTCTTGATATAATCCAAATACAAATTCTCAATACTAGATAAATTCTTCTTTTTGTAGAAAGCGCATAATTGATCTTTGTTATATTTGCTGAAGATATCGAATATATCTTCACCGCTTGACGTCTTTACAACACTGACGCTCTTGGTAACGGTATTTGAACTTGAGCATATTTTTGTTGGACATGCTCGATTATTTGTGACTGCCTATATAAGATACAGATTTTCATAGTAAATAGTTTAGAATAATGGATGATTAGTTTTTATATTTATAATCTTAGTATTTGTGTTTTACTCACTAGTATCAATGTGATCAATGCTAAAAAAAGGATCTTCGCCATCATGTTGATTAATTTTCTTAGCGTAACACAGTGTTCAATCCTAACCAATATGCTTTGTTTTAAATAATATTTCTAGTTGCTGTTTCTGCTTTATATGTATGTTTGATGCTTATTTGAAAAATAGTAATGTAGTTATATTTACACATATTTATTTGTTAATTTTTTTGATTGAACATTCATTGTGATTGTATCTTTTTTTTTTAAAGTCAATTGACTTGTCAATCAAATCATGAACTTGATTTGTGAACAATGTATAAAAAAAATAGTCAAATCTCACTCTATTTTATTAATTTCATTTTGTAAACTGGTGTTATCATATTTACCTCTGTGTTACATATTGGTGGTAACCTTAGTTTATGTAGAAATAAAATAAAAAATATTTAAATAAATTAAAACCATTCAAATTATACTAAATAAGGTAATTTTTTTAATTTTTTATTAATCATGTATAATCTCCCAACAAATATCATTAACATTTTAAAAAAGTTCTTGAATTTTTAACATATAGTTGTGTAATAATTCTAAAATTCATATAACTAGAATTTCACAACACTTCATCACAAAGTCTTATGTTTGCCATTCCCTAATCTGAATTATTTATTATATATTGTTACTGTTTTACCTATAAATGTTATCCATGTTTCTTACTTACTATATAGCACATAGTCTTGGTAGATCAAAGCTTTCATCTACTATAGTTTTCAGTTATTAGAAAATGGTTAAAATTTCGTAACTAAAGAACAGTATTAATAATGAAAATCGTATAAATGAAGAATTTTTTCCTAACAAATGTGTAATTATAGTTAAAAGTTTCATAATGTAAGATAATGTAGACATTTTAATTTCTAGTTAAACATATTTAAAATCATGGATATTATGATCTTATCTCTTATGAGCGTATAAAATCAATTTATCTTTATGATAACTTCAGCTTTATTGGCAATTTCATATTTAATTTTTATAGAATTAGGCTGATAAATATTTATTCAACCATTTGTCTTATATTATAAATTGATGTAATTGACTGTTTAGTTAATACTACTAAAATGATGTTTAATAATAATAACTTAAGGTCATATTTATATCATAAATTACTGCACACACGTTGAACGCAATGATAAATTAGTATTAAAATAAATTACAACCTTAGACTTTATACAGTAACAGGGGTTTTATTTTATTGCAAACTATTTAAAAATAATTGGTAAAAATAATTAAATTTATATTCTAATATAATAACAGAAAATAATATTTTTTCAAATATAAAATCTACAAATATTAAATATTAAATAGTTAAATCATTTAATTTTTTCAAATTTTATGTTTTACTTTTTAATAGTAATTTGAAAATTCGAAAACAAAAGAGTTCATATGTAATCTTAATTTTCATTATAGATAAGTTTAATAAATGTCAATGTAAAGCAGCAATGCAGAGAATAGTAATTGAAAAAATAATTAGAAAGTGAATATTACACTTAATTTACATTATGTCTACTATTACATTGTCAAAATTTTATAATGAAAAATGACTAAAATTAATTTGCCTAAACTAATTTTGTTAGTATGAAAATATAGGTGTAATTGAAGTTTAAAGAAATTTGACATTTAACTACGCATAGTGGTTAATAAACTATGAAAGATCGAGATTTGAAATTCTATAACACTCCTACTAGTCAAGGCGGTTATAAAACAACCATAAACAAAAAACTGTGTCGCAGTTGAGGGGTATAAATATCATAAAAAAATATATATAATTTAAATTTTACAGAATCATTTTGAATCTACTTTCAATCATCAAATTTTCTAGGTTTTCTACTTGTGGATAAAACATAATTCAAAAAAACATTTTTGAGACGACCATGTCGATGTTTTTTAATATTAAAACCCTTGTATCTCTTAGATACTATATTCGATACTTCTGATCAATACCCGATATTAAAATAAACCTAATTATCCAATTATTCATGACTATTAAGATGAATTTTTATTTTTATTAAATATACCATGAGCAATTGTGTTCACAAAAATTTAACTTTTTTCATTTGATTTTTTCAAAATCCATAATGTTAAATATAGAATTTAATATTTGTCAATATTATGCTTATTTTAGAGAATATTATTCTTTATAGCTTTATAATCACAATCACATTTTTAGTATCTTATATTTAGAATACTTTTTAAATCATATATGCTTAATTTTGATAACTAACCATTTCGGTTAGTTAACAAAATTTATCATTCATAAGTCAGCCATAACAATGTTGCAAATACAGATACACTATTATATATATATATATATATACAGATATATCTTCAACATAAAACAATATTTTATTATTTAATATGAATACACACCAAAAATTAAAAAAAAAGAAAACAATATTAATTTTTGTTCTAAAATAGTATACTAAAATTTTACTCATTTTCAATAAAAATTTATATAATTCATTTAAACTTCTATATAAATTATTTATTTTTATTACCATATGTTTTAACATATATTAAACTTTTCCGAGTTAGTTTTAGAAAAGTTAGTTTGGGTTTTGAAACTTTTTATAATAAGTAAAAATAATATTAAAATTTTAGAACAAAAAATTAGTATTAATAATTATAAAAATAATTTACTAATATATAAATTTGATCAAAGTTTATCCTATTTGTTTAAATTATTACTATATTTGAAATTATTCAAAAAACTAGAATCTTTTATAAAATTTCTAAAATTAATTTTTCATTTTATGATAAAACAGCGATTGTTATAATACTCCACAAGTAACAATCACAAGCCACCTTTTTTCTTTTTAAATTCTCTACTTCTTTGCTAATTATGTGAATTGTAATTTTTTATTAAAGTTGTAAGTACAAATCATTAGTAGATGTTTGGTATGTAGGGATAAAGTTATATTCAGATCGTACTCAGTGGTAGGGTTTGGTTGGGTAGGGTTAAATATATATTACACTTAATCATAAAGAAAAATGTAATTATTCATTAAATAAATTACTAAACACAAAAGGTTTTTAAGACTAATGGCTACATAAGAGGTATTATTTATAAGAACAGCTATTTAGTTATCGGATCATTTAAATTTATTTAATAATTCATTCATGTTAAAACAATGAAATTAAAATAAACAAAATTTAGTTTGATTGGTGACAGTAGATTGATGACAGATTTGTAATTTTTGACAAATAAAGAATAATTAGCAAATTGAGGATGATACTTCATTGGCTGAATAAATTTCTGAAGTAGACTTCGTAGAAGTAGAGGAATATGATCTATCAGTAGCAAATGAAGTAAATTCTTCAACATCAGAATCAACGGATTGTGAATGGTTATTATAATATTCACACAAAGATTGTCTCAATGCTTTTCTAGTATCATTACAGTCTGATGATTTATAACTTTCGTATAAAGTCACAAAATCAGTTTGACCTTTTTTTTTGAAAAAATCAATAACTACTTCAACGGAAAATCCATCAAAAACTTCAAAAATGTCTTTACCGCTTGAGGTTAATACAGAAGAAACACCCAAACTTTTTGTAACTGATCCAACATTTGATACGGCGTTATTTACGGTACCGTCAACGATATCACCTACCAAACAACATGATTGTCCGATTGTAATAATCTGTTGATATAGAAAAATATATAATATATCACCATATCACCGTGTGAAAAACTTCATATTTTTTAAATATAATATAGTTAAAGTTAAAAATATTTGTATATATTAATAAAACGACTTAATTCATATTAAAAAAATTCTTAAATTCAATAAAATCGAAACTTACTACAGACAAAACAGCGGCAGTTACAAAGAAAACATTTAAAATCATATTATTTTAGTTCGATTCTGATATATTAGAATCAACAAACGACTAAATAAAAATTATAATAATGATAACTAAGAGAGGGACTCTTTATATAGTATTCAACAATAAAAAGTTAACAAAATACAATTTATTTACATAAGAATATTTACTAACAAAATGTCAGTAAGTCTACAAGTTTCAATCAAACAATTGATATTCTCTACAGATAAATATTTAAGTAATATATTTACTTGCAGTCGCTAAAAATCGAATAAACGTTTTTTTTTTTTTTTTTAAATTCGTTACACTAGAATTTTGATTAACTCTATTATATTTATAGACTCAATTATACAATAAAACTACAAAAATGTCATAATATGCCATTTAAACCATCTTATGCACCAAATCTAAAATTTAAAATTAATGTAATAAAAACATAATTAATTAACTGACTTTCCAACAACCACAGTATGCAGTGGGTAAAAAACCTTATAGCGCAAATGATAATCTAAAGGTTAAAAAATCAATAAAAAACACAATCAGTTCGATATAAAACTAAAAATAAGAGACAAATTCATAACGATTCTCAAAGATAATTTATTATATAATAAATAAAAGAAATGGAATTGCATTACAACACCTATTCTTTTAATTAATAAAAAATCAATTGGAAAATGAATCAATTAAAATATGTGGTTGCAAAGGAGCTGCTAGCGGTAGATTTACTAGTAGAGCTAGAATTTGAGCTGGATGAAGTTGAGCCATTTGTTTTGCATTCTTTCAGGTCGTTAATATCGGTGTCCAGACTATCGTTGTTTGTATAGTATTGATACAAATAATCTTTAAATGCCGTTTCGGTTTCAGACGTTTTTGATGAATTGTAACTAGTGTACAATTTTTCTAATTCAGTCAAGCCCTTCTCTTCGAAAAAGGTAGATAGTGTTTCTTCCGGGTAGGCCGTAAAAACATCAAAAATATCTTCACCGCTAGACGTAGTAACAGGTGTTACATTTGATAATGAACTAGAGCTGCTTTCGGTAGATTTACTAGTAGAGCTAGAATTTGAGCTGGATGAAGTTGAGCCATTTGTTTTGCATTCTTTCAGGTCGTTAATATCGGTGTCCAGACTATCGTTGTTTGTATAGTATTGATACAAATAATCTTTAAATGCCGTTTCGGTTTCAGACGTTTTTGATGAATTGTAACTAGTGTACAATTTTTCTAATTCAGTCAAGCCCTTCTCTTCGAAAAAGGTAGATAGTGTTTCTTCCGGGTAGGCCGTAAAAACATCAAAAATATCTTCACCGCTAGACGTAGTAACAGGTGTTACATTTGATAATGAACTAGAGCTGCTTTCGGTAGATTTACTAGTAGAGCTAGAATTTGAGCTGGATGAAGTTGAGCCATTTGTTTTGCATTCTTTCAGATCGTTAATATCGGTGTCCAGACTATCGTTGTTTGTATAGTATTGATACAAATAATCTTTAAATGCCGTTTCGGTTTCAGACGTTTTTGATGAATTGTAACTAGTGTACAATTTTTCTAATTCAGTCAAGCCCTTCTCTTCGAAAAAGGTAGATAGTGTTTCTTCCGGGTAGGCCGTAAAAACATCAAAAATATCTTCACCGCTAGACGTAGTAACAGGTGTTACATTTGATAATGAACTAGAGCTGCTTTCGGTAGATTTACTAGTAGAGCTAGAATTTGAGCTGGATGAAGTTGAGCCATTTGTTTTGCATTCTTTCAGATCGTTAATATCGGTGTCCAGACTATCGTTGTTTGTATAGTATTGATACAAATAATCTTTAAATGCCGTTTCGGTTTCAGACGTTTTTGATGAATTGTAACTAGTGTACAATTTTTCTAATTCAGTCAAGCCCTTCTCTTCGAAAAAGGTAGATAGTGTTTCTTCCGGGTAGGCCGTAAAAACATCAAAAATATCTTCACCGCTAGACGTAGTAACAGGTGTTACATTTGATAATGAACTAGAGCTGCTTTCGGTAGATTTACTAGTAGAGCTAGAATTTGAGCTGGATGAAGTTGAGCCATTTGTTTTGCATTCTTTCAGATCGTTAATATCGGTGTCCAGACTATCGTTGTTTGTATAGTATTGATACAAATAATCTTTAAATGCCGTTTCGGTTTCAGACGTTTTTGATGAATTGTAACTAGTGTACAATTTTTCTAATTCAGTCAAGCCCTTCTCTTCGAAAAAGGTAGATAGTGTTTCTTCCGGGTAGGCCGTAAAAACATCAAAAATATCTTCACCGCTAGACGTAGTAACAGGTGTTACATTTGATAATGAACTAGAGCTGCTTTCGGTAGATTTACTAGTAGAGCTAGAATTTGAGCTGGATGAAGTTGAGCCATTTGTTTTGCATTCTTTCAGATCGTTAATATCGGTGTCCAGACTATCGTTGTTTGTATAGTATTGATACAAATAATCTTTAAATGCCGTTTCGGTTTCAGACGTTTTTGATGAATTGTAACTAGTGTACAATTTTTCTAATTCAGTCAAGCCCTTCTCTTCGAAAAAGGTAGATAGTGTTTCTTCCGGGTAGGCCGTAAAAACATCAAAAATATCTTCACCGCTAGACGTAGTAACAGGTGTTACATTTGATAATGAACTAGAGCTGCTTTCGGTAGATTTACTAGTAGAGCTAGAATTTGAGCTGGATGAAGTTGAGCCATTTGTTTTGCATTCTTTCAGATCGTTAATATCGGTGTCCAGACTATCGTTGTTTGTATAGTATTGATACAAATAATCTTTAAATGCCGTTTCGGTTTCAGACGTTTTTGATGAATTGTAACTAGTGTACAATTTTTCTAATTCAGTCAAGCCCTTCTCTTCGAAAAAGGTAGATAGTGTTTCTTCCGGGTAGGCCGTAAAAACATCAAAAATATCTTCACCGCTAGACGTAGTAACAGGTGTTACATTTGATAATGAACTAGAGCTGCTTTCGGTAGATTTACTAGTAGAGCTAGAATTTGAGCTGGATGAAGTTGAGCCATTTGTTTTGCATTCTTTCAGATCGTTAATATCGGTGTCCAGACTATCGTTGTTTGTATAGTATTGATACAAATAATCTTTAAATGCCGTTTCGGTTTCAGACGTTTTTGATGAATTGTAACTAGTGTACAATTTTTCTAATTCAGTCAAGCCCTTCTCTTCGAAAAAGGTAGATAGTGTTTCTTCCGGGTAGGCCGTAAAAACATCAAAAATATCTTCACCGCTAGACGTAGTAACAGGTGTTACATTTGATAATGAACTAGAGCTGCTTTCGGTAGATTTACTAGTAGAGCTAGAATTTGAGCTGGATGAAGTTGAGCCATTTGTTTTGCATTCTTTCAGATCGTTAATATCGGTGTCCAGACTATCGTTGTTTGTATAGTATTGATACAAATAATCTTTAAATGCCGTTTCGGTTTCAGACGTTTTTGATGAATTGTAACTAGTGTACAATTTTTCTAATTCAGTCAAGCCCTTCTCTTCGAAAAAGGTAGATAGTGTTTCTTCCGGGTAGGCCGTAAAAACATCAAAAATATCTTCACCGCTAGACGTAGTAACAGGTGTTACATTTGATAATGAACTAGAGCTGCTTTCGGTAGATTTACTAGTAGAGCTAGAATTTGAGCTGGATGAAGTTGAGCCATTTGTTTTGCATTCTTTCAGATCGTTAATATCGGTGTCCAGACTATCGTTGTTTGTATAGTATTGATACAAATAATCTTTAAATGCCGTTTCGGTTTCAGACGTTTTTGATGAATTGTAACTAGTGTACAATTTTTCTAATTCAGTCAAGCCCTTCTCTTCGAAAAAGGTAGATAGTGTTTCTTCCGGGTAGGCCGTAAAAACATCAAAAATATCTTCACCGCTAGACGTAGTAACAGGTGTTACATTCGATGAGCTACCCGACAAGTTAGAATAACTTGTTGGGTAAGTCTCTGTATTTCTTAATACCTGATGATTAATTAAAAATGATAAGAATAATATTGGAGTTAAATATTATATTGTTTTTTATGAAGTACTTACGGTTGAAAGCAGAATAACACTGATAGTGAACATTTTTATTNCAGAATAACACTGATAGTGAACATTTTTATTGAGTGCATATTATTTCTATTTTATATTAGATCTATATTATTGTATATGAAATAAATTGAATATTTTGTAATGCATAATGCGTTATATAGTTTTCAATACTAGACTAATGGTTATTTGCTCGATATTAATTTTGATTAAATATGTTTGATGTTTGACAAAAAAAAAATTAATTGCATGGTATTCATTACTAAATTATGGTTTTTTTAAGTTTATAGAGAAATTATTAACTTATGTACATAAATATTTAATAGCAGTTATGCACAACAAATATTTTAATCATTTAATATTATATTTATGTATGTATTTATAAGTTAAATAAAATATAACAAAAATTTTTATATTAATTATTTAAACACTTAATTAAAATTGTATTTAGTTAATTTTCCTATTGTATTATAGGTATTTCAACTGAAAAACTATTGTATATTTTCGTTGATGAAAACTCAATTAATGTTTTTAGTTTTTGTATCTAATTTTTATATATTTGATGATTAGCTATTAATTAATTTTTAACATGACAATTCTTTTAATGGTAGCCACTTGATTTATCTTAAAATAATTATTTTTTTCTTGTGTTTGTTAGTTACAAATGTATTTTCATTTGTTTATTGTAAAATAATTTCTATGTTTACCTTTTATTAGTTAGATAAGGATGTCACATTAATTTTTTTTAATAGTAAAATACATAGCAGTTAACTAATAAAATATAAAATTATGTAATTAAGAAATAGACTGGTCGATTATTTGACCAGTATTTCAAAATTTTAAATTATAACTGGCGGTAAGTTGTGGGTGCTGTAATTTTTATCAATGTATATGTCTATTAACTTTTCCCCTTGCCGTGGTATAAAACGTTGTTTCCAAACAGTCATTTTTTTAAATATGTAACTATAAACTAATTTACGCTAATTAATTATACATGCTTATATGAAATATTAAATTTTCCCTAATAAGGTATATAGAATTGACATAAAATATATTTTTAACAGATAATTGTATACATGTATAACCAATAAAATCAAAAAATAAAAAAAATTACAAAACAATATTGTTTTATGAGAAATTGTGCTAGTGTTAAAATAACCAACAGCCTATTTATACATTTTTTAAATAAATTTTTTTTACTTTTCAAAAAAAATTTTAAGCTGAGCTCAGTATAATTTTCAGGACGTTTTAAATCTCTATTACTTTCACAATACATATCATAATATCTATATATAAAATAATCAGTTTTACATTGTTATATTTGCCGAAAATAACATGCAATAGATGGCGGTGGACCTCTTTTACATGTTAGGGATGATTCTTGGCTATGACAATGTAGGACGGAACGGGTTTAAAACGGACTTGCACCAGAGACCACCAATGGAAAATCACAAGAAAAATCTTGTTGGCACCCTAAGTATCAAACGCGGGATACTGTGCGTCGAAACCTATATCTCTACCCCTAGGCTAGGTCAACCCCTAAAATATTATACATAAGCATTTAGATATATATAATTTTTTTTATTAAAATACTTGTAACTCAATAAATTCTTGTCTTAAAATTATTTTTGTCCCTATAAATTTAAGAGCAATATGACATAACTTGCGTCGCAAAATTGTTATTTGAAAATTTTGAAAATACTAAGAATTAATTATTTTAATTACTTTTTTTCTTATTGACAACAAATAATACAAAGTTAAGTGAAGTTGAAATCTAACGTAGTTGAATAGTGGAATTTTCATAGTTTTTTATTGATCAATATTTGAAAGTAACAATTGTGTTTTTTTTCTATTTTTTTTTATTACACAGATCCTAGGAAATATTTTAAAATTATGGGGCTGTTAGCTCCGACTAGATAAGTTTTGCGATCTCGTGATGTATCATTGAGCAATATCAGTACAGTAGAAGCGGAGGAGTAATCGTGTATAATGATAAAAAAAAACGCGTCAAATTAAAATCAATAATAATCAATTTCAACTAAGCATTGAAGTTAAACTATGCTATAAATGTAAAATAACGGTACAGAAATTGTTTAATAAAAATTACAGCAAAATAACAATTGAATCAAAATAATTTTGATCCAATTGTTATAAATTATCTATAAAAATTGTCTATTGTATTTGATATATTCTGTACATACAACATAATTAATAATATTCTTAACCAGTGTGGTTATTAAAATCCAATTTGTATAATTGTGTTGTTGTAGTTAAATTTATATTAAATTTTATATCACATTTAATATCGCAATAATGCATCCACAGATTTTTGTTGGAATAAGTTCAATATAACGATTTTGTATGCTTTGTATCAAAGGTATATATTTAATTAGAGTTAAATTAATGATAACTAGTTTATAGGAGTCTGAAACTATGTTTTTTTTAACATCGGTATCATTTCAATTTTTAGGATATTTAATAGAAATATATGGATTATTAATATTTTCGATAATTAAAACACTTATAAAAAAAGTACCATATAAAACGACTATAAAAATAATAAATACGAAAATATTAAAGAAAATAACGATTCTAAAATAATGAAAATTTCATTAGTCCCTGTTCATATAAATTTCTCAATTATATAATAATTTTGGTACTACATTGTAGGAGAATCTAAATATTGGATTGAACCGTTGTCATGTGTCAGAAAAATTCACATGTAATATTTATAAATAACTATTTTCCAAAATGTATAGGTCGTTGGAAATAAAACGTATTTATTCGGTGTCAATATGCTTTGTTTAAACAATTTTATTATTTGACGCATCTAACTTGGTTAAGTACAATATTCTTGTTCGATTTTGATGATTAATCAAATATATAACTATTTTTTGTTAATAAAACAAACCATAAATGAAAATATATAAAGTGTCACTAATTAATCAACATTTATAACGAAATTCCACATCATAACTATTTCGTCAGTGAACACATCACAACACAAATAAATGAATATAATCGCTTGTTTAGACTTCATGATAATGACATAAAAATGTAAATAACATAATATACACATGTTGACGAAATATTCGGTTTGTTAATAGTTTTCTGCTTAATATTCCAAAGATAGTTATAATTCGATAATGCAGCTAAACACAAGTAGCCGATTTATGTAAAGGTAAGAAGAAATAATTACTTATTACAATATCACTATTACAATTATTATTATAGTATCACTTATAATAGATTTAGTTGTATTCTAATATATAGTACGTTATAAAACAAATAAGGTTTTAAGTCAATTTGATAAATCCTGATGTTTGTTCTATTGAATCTTACAGTCAAGTAATAAAAATGAAAATAAAAATGTTTAGTTCAAAATGGTAAACAATTTTATTTTTATAAGAGTGAATCACTTTTACTAAAATAAAATAATTAAGAAAACCTAATAATAAATTAAAATATATAATACTAAAAATTACAAACATATTTAAACAATATTCGCATAAATTTGATATCTTTGGCAATATTATTATAACTAATATATTCTTTTTCCTCACCTTTATCCCAATTACTTGGGGTCGGCAACCCTTATCCTAAACTTCCACTTAACACGGTCGCAGACATCATTTACGCACACATCAACCCTTCTCATAACGCATTCAGTAACATCTCTATCTTTTTTAGTTTTTCTTTATCTCTTCTTCCCTCAACATTCATTTCCATAACTATTTTTACAGCTTCTGATTCATCTATCCACATAACATGACCAAACTATTGAAGTCTATTTTCTCTCATCTAAACCACGATTGACGCTACATTTATAGTCCCTCCTAAATGTTCGTATAATCAAAATATATGATAGTAATAAAATTTCAAACTAATATTAAAATACTAACATATTTAATATACTAATATTTTTTATTCAAAAACAAAATTATGGTTTTAAACTTTTGAAATAATTATATTTAGTTTTTTTAATACTCGACGTAATGCAATTAATTTATTAGATTGATAACAGTACTATTAGTGTTAACATTTTATTTGAAATAATAATTATTGCAACGATTCAAATTATAAGATTCACACCATTTATCAAAATTATAGCAGAAAATAATTAATGTATGAAGTCTCATGTGTGTACGTTTTCAGATAACTTAATTTTTTTTTCTATTACATAATATCTTCACAGAAATTATCTTAAATAATACGGAAGTTAAAACTTAGATTAAGTGAGTAACGTATTTAAAGACCCGTTNAAACTTAGATTAAGTGAGAAACGTATTTAAAGACCCTTGTTGATGGGGTAGGATATCCTTCAATGGCATCAGCGGCCCCTCAAAATAATATGGTAGCTGACTTTGATAGATTTTAGATAAATTATTAATAGCATAATTTGGTTGTCTAAATTTAAGTTTGTATTTTTTCATAGATTTTTTTACATTATCTTATATGACCGTACCTATAATTAATAGACAATAAAATGTATGCGTATAGTAATATATACTTTTATCAATTCTAAAGTATTACACCACCAAATTTTAAAATAAACGCAATCGTTCTCCATTCTTCTTATATAATGTTTTTACGTGAAGTAATTTAATTAATTTTTAAACGGTAATCTTGTTATGACCTGCAGTTCATTTTTGTGATTTATCGTAGTCCACCGGGGCCAACGATATTATTTACCTTATGGATTATACCGTTCCTATTTATCGTGTTTCTTACCCTGCGGTAGTCTTATTTACCGGCTACCGGTTAAATTTCTTTACTATAGAAAAATTAATTAGTTTAAACAACACTCTTGAGAGGATTTTAAGTCTGTTGGATTAAGAAGTAAACACTTGGTAAAATTTGAAGACGAGCACAGCATCAATATAAACGAGATTCTCAACAACGTATTAGAACACACAAAAAATGTGAGATTGTTTCCGCGGAAATGCTTCATAATCAAGTGAATAAAATTATGCAAAAGTAAATTAAACGCTGAGCATAACCTCTGCTCTAATCTGCGTCAAATAAAAAATTTAGTCTCTACTCATTTATCGAGAAAAATAAAAAGTTAAATGTTGTCTGAGATATATTTACATAAATGACGATTTTAGATACAACAAACTCTAAACATAAATCTTAATATTACGCACAATATGACAAAATCAGAATTAATTAATTAATTAAAACGTTAGATTTGTTAGACAATTTTTAAAGTAATAGTAAGATAATTAAAACGCGATTTTGGTAGTTTATAAAATACATGTTATAAACTTTTTGATTTTTCTTGCAAGTACAGACGTTTAAATGAAATAATTACTCAAAATATTCAATGATTTTACCAACAGAAACTTTTTACCGTACTCAAAATATTAAAATAGTTATTATAGCCACAAATTCAGATACATAAAGTGTTCACTAAGTAAGAAAACGGTTTTTTAATGTCTTTATTTTTTAACATTCTGTAGATCATTTTCTATTTTAAGAAAATTACTGGTCAATAGTAACACTTGGATCAGTATTTCGGAAATTATTAACATTTTTATGCCTAGGTAAAATGAGCGCGGGCAATAAATGATAAAAATTGTTATGTTCACGCTTTACCTATATTCTATATTTTAAAATGCTAAATACTTCTGAAGTACTGGTCCAAAAATTATCATCGAACAGTTATTTTCTTAAATTAGATCATTTTCTATTTTCTAGCTAGTTAAATACGTTAGTTGTCATTTGAAAAAATAAGNATACGTTAGTTGTCATGTGAAAAAATAAACAAACCAAAAAAATATAACTAAAATTATTTTTATTTTATAAGTAATTAAGAAGGGTTTCGATAAACGGAGCACCCTGTAAAATAGACCTAGTTTGGGGCCATTATAATACTGTATTCGACCTTATAACATTGAAAGTGTGTTATGTGAAACGCGAGTTACATCAAATCCCCATTGTCATCACAACCTTTTGTTAAAATCATTTCGTTTAATGACTCGTCGTTGATAATCATATACTTTTGATATTTATGTCTACGTTAAATTTTATGGTAGTGGTAAACTATTCTTCTCCGTTTATAGTATAGTATATTTTATTTTTTACAATAGAAAAACGTTAAGGATAGAAATTTAGAAGGTAAACAATATTTTCGGGCAGAACACACCCGCAGCAGTCGATCTTTGATTAGAATCTAATAATATGAGCTCATTATTAAAGCGAGTACAATATATTTTTGTAAAGCTTGGCTTACGTCCAATGATATTTTATCCGGTCAAGGAAGTTGTTTTTGCACAAGAGAACAACAACAGGAGACCGATTCAATATTACATAAAAATAGATGTTATTTTGTTGTGTTCAGAAAAGAGAACTTCTATCTAGTAGGGTTATTTCATTTACTTTCAAGAATCTTTTACATTCTGAAACTATTTTCCGTTTTTGTTAAATGGCGTACATTATTTTTACATCATAAAACACATAATTATTAGATACATATTAGTTAAAATCCTGTGATTATACAATGCACATTATTATCTTCAATCTTAAAATTGCAGAGGTAAATTCCGTATGCTGGTTAAAATATTATAATTACTACTTAAAAATATCTAACAGAATATGAATACATCTTCATGCATTCGACAAAATATCAGAATCGTTCTTCCTTTTGTGTACAGTTATTGTATTTTGTATAGAAAATTTATTGTAGTAATAATAGTAATAACAAAAATAATACAATACCACTTTTTGATTTCTAGTGTTTGTCGGGGTACAATGATCCGAACAATGGTTTCAGTCGAAATGATCAAATGACATTCTATGACATGAATCAACTTCGTTAAAATAAAAATGAAATATATGATAAAAATTATAACAAATATCGACAACGATTAAAGAAATTATATTTAGTTGGTAGAATAATTGATTTTTTCGTCAAATAATATCGAGAATCCAACTAAACAGTAAAAATCCAGAATAAATCTTTTACAAAAATTATGTAACACTATGAAGTAAGCAGTGACATGAAAAATTCTGAGCATATTCTTGAAAAATATTATTGTCGATAATATGGAAGATTTATATGGTTTATATTAGAATAATAGAATAGCAATAATCAACAGAAATAAAAATAACCAGTTTCGATTAATTTATTCGTATAAACAATGAGCATATTGATAATTATCTCAGCATTCAATATACAAGTACTATATAAGGCAAGTAATTACTATTAGTAATACTTTCCAGAAATAAGTCAATAAAGTTATAAACGAAGATGAGAAGAGAGAAATGATTGGGATTAAAATGGCATTGGATAATTTTCTCACTATGTCCCAACAATTCATGTAGTTTTAATGGAACACTGAGACCTACGTTTTGTGATGTTGAAATTAACACAAAAATATTGTAGTTATACAATATATATTGATGATATAGATTGTTAAAAATTTGAAAAAAAAAAGAAAAGATAATTTAATTTTTACATAAAATATCTTCGGTGGTGACAATGTTTGATTGTATGTTTTGGTAGTTGTTGTAAAAATTACAAAGAATTATTTATTAATTTGTTCAAGCATAAAATAAAACATAAAAGAAGAAAATATTTCAAAATACTATCTTATACAGAGAGTTCAGTAAGTAAGGCAACAGGTCAATTGTTACAAACAATGACAACAACAGAAATCCGTTTCCTTAATTACTGTATACTTTATACATAGACACACTCAAAATTTTGACACTTATTTCATTCACTCTACACAGTCAAAAATATTCTATATTTATATTTCAGATTTCTTAGTTAATATAAATATAATAGTACCATATTTTCAAAAATGTGTTTTTGTTTTGAGTCTTAGTGTTTTTAAAAATTCCCATACCCTAAAAATGTTTAATGGCTAAACTTTAACATAATTAATTATTAATTTGTTTTATTAACAAAGAAATTGAAAAAAAGAATGAAATTTAATTTAGTTACTTGTTCTTATCAGTATCACCTTACTTTATATTTGTATTGTGTATTATTATATATATATATCATGTTAAAGGGGAATACTCAATTACACGAGACGGCGAAGCTGAGATGCACTAGCGACACCCAATTAAATGCCAACACGTTTTACACAGAATTTCCAATTACTCTAAGTTAAACAACATAAATATTTATGCTCGGCGACCGTGCATAAAAACTGTGTTCAAGAGTTATGATCATTTTTGATAAACATAGACAATTTTTAAGTATTATGTGGTAGAGTTCAGTTTTGTTGTTGTTATTCTAGAATGAGTACACAAGAAGAATACGGGAGGCCGCATTATTGTACATATACACAATAAGAATATATATATTCTGTATAAAACGAAGTATACACAGCCACATTTTGTAACATGATACTTTTATAACTTCATTTTCACTACACTGGTAGTAGAAATAAGTTTAATATAAGTATGAGAAGATTATAAATACATTAACCTTCAGGTCGATTGAATTAAAATAGGTTATCGATAGATATTGGAAGTATTCTCTATGAACACATAACGGTTCTCAGTTTATTTATGATTCGTAAATGGCTGTCTAAATTAAACTGAATGTCTGTTTTAGTTATAATAAAATAAAAATTATCGAACAAATAGCTTTTTCATAAAAAGTGAAAAAGTGTACTTGAAACTTTCTTAAATAATAACAAATAAAAAAAACAACTCTCAACTTAACAAAATTCTTTTCCAATAAATGAATATTAAAAAGTTTTTTAGTCTGTTATCCAAAATTTGAGTTCAAAGTATTATATGATTTTTCTCAAATGAATAATTATACACATAATTAGTTTAAATAATTATAATTTTGGTGACCAACAATCCTCTAATTTATATAAATTTTATACTAAATTCGTTTTCACCAAAGTTCTTCGTTTAAACCTTCGGTAAATTTCGACATAATTGCCCTAAGCAGAACATTAGAAACTGCACTAAAATAATATCTAGTTGTTCCACAGAAATGGTTTATGTCTCGTGGGATTTGCTATACAAATTTTCCGTAACATTATAAATGTAACTGTTAATAGCTTCTGCTTTGGTTCTAGAAAATAATATCAGCAATTCAAGTGAATTTAGATTTTATTCTAATATTAATCAACTAAAATAAGTAATCTGTGTATAAACACGTTAATATATTTGATAAATACTTAATAAATGATAAAAATAAAAGTTTAATTAATGTTTTAATAAATAATATATCGTGTTACATTATTTAATTACGATATAGGATATAAATATCGAATAAACAATTAAATTACAAAAATAATACTATGAAGTTTTTATGAGACGAGTAGGAATAATGCTTAAAAATCAATAAACAGGTAAATTTTCTTTTAACTTTTTAGGCTAATGCAGGTGTCGCTATAAAAATATTTTCAAATAAAAATTTTTTAACTAAGTTCACTCAAACATAAAATTATCATTTTTTAAAAAATTGAAATTCTACCATAGCGTACTCTGAGTATTATTTTTCGCTATGCCAGACGTAAAAAATGTAAACTAAGGTCGACTTTTAAGTACTAGAACATCTATGTTCTGAAACTGTAATTTTTACATCTTTATAAACTATAAATAATGGTTTTCTTTTAAACGACACATGTTAAAACGAAAAACAGTTTTTCTTTTAAAATATTTATAGTTATACTGTCAACATTCAAAACTTTTCTGTATCGTTTTGGTGATTTTTCAAACTCAAGTAAATAATACATTTGATGGGTTCACACTAAGAATTTTGCGGCGAAAACGGTAGGCAACCACAAGTTCAGTAACAACGATTTTGACAACGTCCACTATGCGACGGTTGGCTAACCTCTGAATGTAATTTAGGATCGTGATTTCTAAAGTCACTAGGTATTTCATGGGGTTAGAGCTTTAAACAGAAAGTGTATTTCTATTTTTAATAATACAGTCAATCTATTAATAGATAAAGTAATAATAGATGAATGTAAAATAAGCTAGTAAAAAATGTTACAAGTTTTATTTTTTCAACCAGTGTACGTATTTAAATATTATTGACGTCTTAAGTATGAATAAAACCATTATGTATAAAGTTACAGAATATGAGAACAGCAATTAATGGGCACCGTGAAACAGAGTATGTAACGGCCCAATACCGTCCTCGACGGTGTCGTAAATGTAGAATTTTAAGTAACTGAAATAAGTAATAGATAGTAAACAAAATTAGCATTTAAAAGATATAACGGAAATTTAGAGGTCAAGAGTGTCGTAAAAAGTTTATTTGACTACACTGGTGGTACAGTAACAGTATAATTTAACGTAACGTACATTAAACACACGATCATGTATCGATTCTATCAGCAAAATACATACAAAAAAACAAATGAGCCATTTCCTGTATAATATTATGACAATACAATATAAAGTTTGTTGTAATTCTATGAATAATAAAATTAATAATTAATTGTATAAAGTATGAATGCAAAATCGATATTATGATTATAATTAATCATCAATTAACACTTAAGAAAACTTAAAATCTTCGTCATAGAAATAAAAACTACGTTTAGATTGTTTGAGAATAATAAAACCCCTGATCACCAAATTTTTAATTATCTAAAATATTAAATTGTACGATCTGATAATTTATATTATTTTATACCTATATTTAAAGTGGGCCAAATTCATACAAATAATTATTATGATCAAGTTAGGCATCGACTATTAAATTTGAATAATTATAAAAAATAAAGAAGTTATTTAAGTTTAAACTTTATCTAACTTCTATTTAATATTTTTTATTAATGTTACTAGCCCCTTCATCTTTCATCGTGAAAAAAAGAGATCATCCCTCTTTTTTTCATTTAATGAATTAAATGGTCAATTAATTAAATTGAAAGTAGCCGTCCTACTTAGTAGATATATACATGCATAAATTCAGGTCAGAATATACAATACTCAAGAGTAGCTCCTTTGATCCCTAGAGACATCGACTTACAGACAAAACGCGAGATGGCAGAATAGTAATTATCTCGGTTCACTTTGTTCAACCGTTCGATTAGGATAAATTTTTATAATATTATTCTTTCTCAACGAGGGAGCACCCGCATCAATGGAATTAAAATCTATAAAACTATGACATTTTAGCCACTACGCGTTGCTTTGTTTACTAAAAGAATGGCGTGTGCAATGAGAGGTTAAAGTCATTACGCAATCAAAAAAATAAATAAAAAGATTTTTAATGTATAAATAAGTTAAGGCAGATAAAGATTTTTTTATCGAACGTAAAAAATGTTATTCTTTAAACAATGAAACATTTTAACTAACTATTCCACGAAAAATCTTTTAAAACTGATTAAACATTAACGAACATTTCCAGAGAAAACAGTATTTCGTTAACTGTGTAACTACTTCTAGAAATCACCTAGATCGTTTTCGCATTTTATTTTAATTATTAATAGCAATATATCGATATAATTCATCACATTAAATAATTAAAACATGTAATAATAGACGTGCTATATCATCAACTTTTTCGTCTCGATAAAATAAGGACAAAAACATGTTATGATTCATAACTTTCGAAGCATATACATTGAGATGCTTAAAATCCAATTTAATGACATTATACAGCACACGTTATTGTGGCAATTAATTAACACAAATATTATATTTTAAAGAAAACGTAAGAAGATTTAAATTGAAATAATTTAACAATAAAACCTACACTGAACATTTTATAAGTCATGATGGGCGTTATGTAAAGACCTTACTGAAGAATTTGCATGACTTACAATCAATGTAATATTTAAAACTCTTAAAAATGTCACTAAAAGTTACACATTTTACCAAATTCACCAATTGTACTGTAAGTATATTTAAATAATTTGAAGATGACACGATTCCAGATAAACGGTTTCCAAGGTCAATCAGCATTATTGTCATTTTTCTACAGTCTAGAGAGATCTGTACGTGATAACGAGAGTATGAAAACGATTTTTTACTTGTACGATTTATTTTAACGATCTTTCATTCACGATTATCTATATTTATAATTTATAATTATTGAATTGCATCATAATTTGTAAGAAAACCATAATAAAGATATTATTTTTAAAAATACACAACTTTTTTAAACAAGAATGATGAATATTTCTTCTGTTCCATAAAAAAATATTGTTATAATATCTGATAAAGAGACTATAAAAACAAACGTAGATATTATCTTTTCTAAAAAGACAATATGTATTAGCATCTTATAGATTCAGACACGCGAACTCTTTAAAATTATATAATCTCATCAAGTGAAATAATTAAATCTTTTAATCCGTCAAATTAAAATGACAAGTGTTGGTTACTGTTTTAGAGACGTGACCCTTTTCGTCTGTATTCAATAATATAATCCAAAGTTTTTGACCAAAAACTGTGGTGCGGCTGTCGTTTGAAACAAACTAACAAAATTCTTCAGAAAACAGTTGATATATATATATATATATATATTTAAAGACCAAAATTACAAAGACAACAAACTATTGAAGCACAATTTCTATGTAATTTTGAATATAATAATTCGTTCAAAATTTATGCAAGCAGAGAAATTGCTTCACAAAATGTTTAAAAAAAAAAAATAATTACTCGTAGAAACAAAAAAATATTTGTATAAATCAAATAGATATTATCATTTAAAAATGAATACATACACAAAATGAGTGTAAAATATGTTATTATTAACTAAATATTTGTATATCTCACCTTAGTATTATACTCACAATAAAATTCCTAATTAAAATTAAGGAATAATGTAAACGTTCTTTCATTACTTTAAGGATTATTCTAATTAGTCAGTT